GAGATACGAAGAAGATACAAATTTATATGAAGCGATTGGGAGATGAGAAACCTGCCAAGTATAATCCCTATAAATTTGACAATTACGTACAAGCTACAGAGCTACTTGAAGCTTCTTCAGGTAGCTTTCTGCCGCATACCCCCACACTGTAGAGGCATACATCATTGCTGGACTGATGAGACTCTTGCGCATTATATGTTCCAGATATTGTAGCTTTCGAGTCTTGTTCTGTATTAAGGACTTCGTTTTTCTTTCCCATCCTTCTCAGGACCTCCGTATTAGTTATTCTCTCTGTCCAAGGTTGGATTCTTCGGTACAGCCACATTTCAACTGTCTCGAGTTTTTTTGAGGCCTCCGTAATCGTCCACGATTTTTTTTTCTAGGGCAATGAGCAAATCTTTTATGGAAAGTGTTAAAAGAACAGCAGCTGAATATAACGAACACATCGATCACGTTTTTCTGACTAGCCTTGCTTTGTTTTGCGTCTTTTGAATCTAGTTTTTCGAAAATATTTTCGTCATGGTTTTCATAATGACCAGCTGACGAAAAATAAATTAACGCTGGACATAAGCGCGCCTTATCTTTAAAATAGCATACGGAACTTGGCCAATTTTTTACAGAATCCAGTCGAGACACTACGACATAGTTTCGCATATTGTTTAGTATTGGTAAAGGCCGCGATGAAGAAATGCTTGTGCGGTTTTCTGAAAATTCCCTTTTTTCTTATTGCGTCAATGTGGAAGTTTCATTCGCCACTGGTTTTGTGTTAGTTGTGCTAACTGTTAAGGACATTCACGTTATTTTCGACCGCGTTTTAATTTGTGTGCGGCGTGCTCGATATTTGAAAGATCACTTTGACCTTAGCTTAGTTGGCTGCAACCAAACTGTCCCTTACCTTCGATTTGATTTTTTATTAAAAATAGCACAATTGTAAAAATATAGATCAATCGGCAGTCTAGTATATAGATACATCTGTGTAATTTTTAGCCAGAAAATTCCGAATTTTTCTACAGAGCTACTGGAGAATGATTTAAACCTGGTTAAACTCAGGCTTATTCACGTTTAATAAATCATATCAAATTTCACAGACTCAATTGTTCAAAGTTATACTTTCAATTTTTGCTGCTTGGCTGCATGATCCTTTTGCAATATAATTTTTTTTATATATTCATTAAAATCAAGTGGATTTTTCGACACGTGCAGTTATTGGATATGTGTTTAAAATTGCTCGCTTCAAACTACCGCAAATCATTACGGAATTGCAATAAAAGCGTTTTGCTCAAGCATTTCTAGATTGCTTTTCGTGGCTTTCAAATTTCGTTTTGTAATCATTCGTTTTTAGGATATTGCGAAATTTGATGAAAAACGGTCAAGAGAAAGTCAGCTATTATGGGATTATGGGAGATTAGTGGATCGATGTTAATGTCAATATTTCAGCAAATTTATCGGTGTTGTAAATCAGTTAGAGGTTTAAAGCATTACGGTTTTTTTCAGGCAAGGTTTTAAAAATAAGGAAAAATTATATTTCAAGGTTCATTACTAAGCGCCTTAAATGTGCAATAACTCGTAGGTATAGCTGATCGGCCACTTTATTCACGTTAATTTGTTCTAAAATATGCGAATGCGATGAGCCAATTTCCTCATTACTATTCATTCCTTGGAAAAGTATACTTAAGCATTTACATAAATACATATACAAAATTTGTATTTTAGAAGTCCAAAACTTTAGCCAATAAAATTTTTACTTCCTGTCTAGTTTAATGTTAATGTGTTTATAAAAAAACATTATATCTTGCCGCTTGGCGCAAAGTACAAAAAAATATACTTTTTTGTGCAAAATACCCAGTCAGACAAACAAAAAAACAGAAAATTATCCTTTAATTTCAATATGTATAATCCGTGTTTTTGCTCTACAATCATGTTACTTGCTGCTTCTTAAACAACAAACGAAATATAAACGAAATTTGATAAAGTCACTTTTATTGTTTCTGTTATTATTTATAACATCAGTTATCGATAGGCTGCTCTGAAGGTTCACTGATGAGTCGCAGCAATATAATACATTTATGTAAATCTTAACACTGTTGTGTGCTCAGGCCTGGAACTTAACACTAGTGTCAAATTATTAGTGTCCTAATTGTGCACACTTTTTTCGATTCTGTGCATCACTTCGATGGACATTTTGTGATAATGTTGGTGGTCGATTCAATGAATGCCGGACTGAAAAGATGCATATCACAAGTGTCGATTTTAGCCAGCAAGGCGACTTATTCTGGAGAAGAAGCGTGGGCTCACACTTGGTCCAGGTATTGCTTTACTTTATAGATGCGTTTAAATTGATGTTCGTGTGATTTTTATGAGTTTTTAGACCAGGAAAATTGCAAGTGGTTGTTTTTAGCTTCGTTTTTTATCACCTGTTTACTTAGACGGCTACTCCCTCAACGCCTTTTTTTTCATTTTAATAATTTTAAAGAAGTTGTTCGAAAAATGAGGGACAGTGAAAGCGTTTTAATAAGTGAAACAGTATAATTTGTAACCGCGGTTTGGTGAATGGTGAATTAAAAACACTTTTTTTAAATCATCCAAGTTTATACCAAGTGCAAATTCTAAAAGAGCAATTTTGGCAAATGTTCAATTAGCCAGAACTTATTAATCCAGTGTAAGCTTCCGAGCAAACAAGCGCTCTGAAAAGTTCGTCAAAAAGATCATTTAAAATTCGAAAATCTCCACAAATTGAAAGTGGTTTGCATCAAACGCTTAAAATTACTGACATTTTTCTGAATAAAGCCTTGAGCTAAAAGTTGTTGCTTTGTTTTGTTTTGCATACTAAATCATGATTTTCTCTATTTTATTTGAGCTGTTTCCCTTGCACTAACAGAGCTTCATTCTCCTAAAAACCCGCGTAAGGCACAATCATTTTTTTCCAAGGAAAGTTAATATGCTTTTGGTGACAGAAATGTAATTTTAACATTTTCTAAAACTCCGCAAGCAATCAATTGTGTTTTGTATTTCCATTATTCACGAAAATGAAGAAATGTGGCTCTGAACTAACTGTTCCTTTAGAAATATGTTATTTAATTCCAGATTTCTTCATATTTTGAAAAACACATGACCAAACAAATAACAGTATTTGCATGTATCAATAAGACATTGAATAGTATGAATCATTATTTAATTAATATTTTTGTTGACATTTACTTCGGGTAATTAACTAAGCCCATTGATAGTAAATGTTGCTATCCAGTCTATTTAAAGCTCTGATATGAGGAAAATATATGGAACAATTTCAAATAGTGACGTGAATTTTTCAGTGCAGTTGCAAGCTATCGATGACTAAAATAAGTTTAATTACAGTGTTGGTTGTACATTTTTTTAAAATGTTTATGTCCTACCACGCAAAATTCAATATTTCAAAGAAGTTTTTTCTCATTAAATCAAGTTTTTTTAGCCGCACAGTCTGCGATATTTTTAATCTTCAAGGGCAAATCTCCATAAAATCGCTTGCCTTTAAAACAGAAAAATGTTATTGATTTATAATAATCCATTAAAATTGTGTTTTTCTCAAATTTTATATGATAAATTAGCTGATTTTCTGTACTTCTACTCATAAAGTTATTGATAGTATGCTCAAAATTGCGTTTTAAAATGTGGAAACTAGAGAAACCACGCTTACCTATACGTTTCTGGCAACACAAAAATCTAGAATTCTTATATTGCAATTACTTAATTACGATTCTTCATGTGGAACACTAATTAAAAATTGTATTATTTTCACTTATTAGCGCTATTATTTGAAATATATTTTATGCTAAACAGCCAATTATTGGAGACAACTTGGAAGAAAGTGCTTTTGATTAGATTTAAGGTGAATGTATTATTCATTCTTCTCGAAAATACTTTCTTTCATATGATGGCTTTCGTTTCGATACGGTCAAATAATGTCGCGATATAATTAGGCTGTATTTTTAGAGTTTTCTCCCTAAATGTAATTTTAGATGTCGCGTTTTTGCACGGTGTCGACAAAAAATTATCAGAATTCGCCGCTTTCAATTGGAATATTTAGACGAAGAAATGAAGAAATCAGTTTCAGGCGATTTGGTCATAATTTGTGTTAGTATTTTATTCGCAATTTTTTGTTAAACAGTCAAGTGACATACAAATATTAACAGCTAAATATGGCAAATTGAATGCAAATATCCAAAGTAGTCGTATCTTCTACCTATGTATTGATTTACGCAGATTAATTACATATGTTTGCCCGCATTATCTGTCTACATGGCATACTAATTATAGTTATCTATTGATTGAGGCAACGAAGTGGAAAAAATATAAATTCGTTACATGGTATATGCTACTTATAGATAATTTGTATGTTGAATACTAAAAATGCTGTTTCTATTTATTGGCAATGAAGACGGTAATTTTGCTCACATGATAAAAATAGTCAAATAAACGGCAAATAAAAAAATGTGGAATGTTCAAATTGCATGAAAAATTTAAAGATACTTCAGGCAATAAAACTGGAAATTGAAGAGAAAACAGTTGAAATTAATTGCAGCCTCAAAAGTTCTCAGATTTTTAAGGGAAATATATATTGAGAAAATAATATTTTTGAAGTCAAAATAATATAGTCCAGTATGGTTATGAAATTATTTTCAAGTGGTGCGTGGCATAGATTTTCTGAATACCGTAATTGCACGATATGCGATAAACTTTCTTTTCTCATCTTAAAATGATTCTGCTTGACCCAAACTACTATGATTAAATACATATTTTTGTACAGTTAAATTAGTAATATTGACGGAAATGATGAGAAACTTGTAGTCTTCAGTAGAAAACTTCTAAGTCAACGCGCATTTTCGACATCCAGGTTATTGACTCAGAACTTTTCTTCTGTAGACCACCACAAATCGTTTGAAAATATTGTCCACTGTTAGAAACAGATTTCTTGTATGCATATATTTGCATTTTAAATAAATCGCATTTTTCTGTTATTTCAGATATAGACAGAGCAGATTCAATGCAAGGAGAATTCGAAAACGGGTCGTTTTCAAGCACGGAGATTGCAATGTAGTTCAAGGAAATGTAGCGAAACGACGCCGAAAGTATTTGCAGGTGAACACTAATTAGTGAACACTATGCGAGCCAACTAGTTACACACAAGTTTCGCTTTTCTCTTCAGGACATTTTTACAACGTTAGTCGATGCCCAATGGAGATGGACGCTGCTAGTTTTCGCCTTAAACTTCCTTCTATCTTGGCTCCTATTTGCGTTAATTTGGTGGCTGATCGTCTTTACACATGGCGATTTAAACATGGACGATGTGTATTTGGTAAGTTCAAAATATATGCAAAATATTTAGAGTTCTGGGTTACTATTGGGAGAAAATCCAACGAAATTTTGTTGCATTCTGGTGAGGCCAAACGTCGCCAATTATTAGCAAAACACCTGTAGTTTTTCAGAGTTTCCAGTTTAACATTGATTCACCTACATAATTTAAAGCTTATTTCTGAACTTATCAATTGGAGAGACAATTTAAAACCATCCTAATCTTTGATCTTATTTCCTACTGGGTTCTATCGCTCATTGAGGATCAAAAATTTTGTCAGATAATCCTCAATGTCTTCAGGTGATTAACGAATGAATCATTTTGAGGTCCATTATTTGGAAACTTGCTTTATTGGAGGATTTTTCAGAATGGTACTGAGCCTACTCCCCCTTGCCTGGTTGGCGTTCACGGTTTCACATCCGCTTTCCTCTTCAGTGTTGAAACTCAGCACACTATTGGATTTGGAACTAGAGCGACGACTGAAGAATGCCCGGAAGCTATTTTTGTTTTGTGCATACAAGCAATTGCAGGTAATTGAAAAAAATTGGTTTTGATTGAGTTATAAAAAGTATTAATCTTCTGAGCTAATTGTTGAGTTATTTCGTCTTCAAATAACCAGAAGATACTTATTAGAGCTCCCAAACAGACGAAATGAACACTTAGACTAATTTTCATAATCATCTGTAAAAAGCTATAGTAAGATCAGATCCCAAAGAGGAAAACTTACTGAGCCGTCATTTAAATAGCGACAGATTCAATCTACCAAACATAAAAAGGTTTCTGCTTCTAAAATAAAAATCATGCATTTAAAAATTACTATTTGGATCAAATTAATTATCAACTTGCTGAAGAAAATATCAAAACAGCACTTTTAAACTTTCACGTTCAATTACATCAAACCAAATTTAATGTTATGTAAATTAATTCGTTTGCAACAAAGCAAAAATCGGAGCTTTTTTGCTTTTGTGATTCATTTAGTTACTAATTTGCAGGTGTAATGATTCAGGCCTTCATGGTAGGCGTGGTATTTGCCAAACTGTCTCGTCCGAAGAAACGAACACAAACGCTTCTGTTTTCAAGAAATGCTGTGATTAGTCATAGAGATGGTGTACGTTGCCTTATGTTTAGGTAGGTTGAGTTTATTCTTACTTAGTTTATTTCTTAAACTTTGTTGATTCATCAGTTTCTATAAATATTGTTGTGTCGTCTACTAAACTGAAAACTTCCATATTAAAAAATTTCCCGATTTTTTTCTGATCTGAAAACTGATCCTTTTTTACGTAAAATGGACACACATTTCCTATTTTAATGTTGAAATTTGCTTTTCATGCTGCTTTTATCAATTTTTTCTGGAAGAGAAATTAGCAGCAACTGATGCCATCGTTCATTCATTTTAATTGTTTTGTACATTTGAATATTTTTGTTTATTCAGAGTTGGAGACATGAGAAAAAGTCATATCATTGAGGCTCATGTTCGCGCCCAGTTGATCAAGCACAAAGTTACCAAAGAAGGAGAACAGCTCCCCTTCTTCCAGACCGAACTGAAGGTAAAGGTACTGATTCTTTTTCACTTAAGTTCTGTTTGTTGTACGATTGCATGTTTTGTGTTCGACCAAGTGTTAAAGGAAGATCTGCACGCTTCAAATTTGACAAAAATGCAATTTTTTTGTTGAGAGAGAAAATGTTTAAAATCGATTATGCCCACTTTTACGGATCTTCAGTCCTTTCGAAGAAAAATATGCATCCTGAAACTAACTTTGTTCCGTGACTTGATGAGACCGTAATATGGAACATAAGATAATAAAAGGTGTTCATACTTCTGCAGATCTTCCTAATGCACTTTTCATTTTTTATATCTGCTGTGATTTTTTTTGGAAAAGTCTTGTTTTGCCTTGATTGCTTCTAATATCTACTTTACAAAATAGGTTGGTGGCGATGGAGACGAAGACAAAATATTCTTCATCTGGCCCACTACTATAGTCCACAAAATCGACAGCAAATCTCCACTCTACAACATGGCCGCAACCGATTTGTTGCGAGAGCGATTCGAGATTGTCGTTATATTAGGTGTGATCTGCTATGTCTGGGTGTCTTATATAATGCCTAAAAAAATGTCCAAATTATAGAAGGCGTGATAGAATCGACAGGAATGACCACTCAAGCACGCTCGAGTTATCTTCCGTCGGAAATCCTCTGGGGCCATCGATTCGAATCGCTGATTACGTTCAGAAAGGATTCTGGAGAATATGAAGTGGATTATGCCCTATTCAACAATACCATTCCGGTGGATACTCCATTGTGCAGCGCCAGACAGTTGGATGAACATCTGGCCATGTTCAATGCAGATGGATCAGGTAAATTTCATCATTTCGCAAAAATTCAATTCACTCACTCCAAGAGGGGACAGATTGATTAATTCTTTATTCTTCGATTAATGGGGGATTGAACTAAAAATCTTGACCTGCAAGTGCCAAACTGTGGAAGTAATGGAAAACAAAGCCAAAATTGTTATTAAGTTTCTGTTCGTGTATCAAACTAGTTATTCTTCAATTGTTGCAATAGTTTAGTGTTCAAAGTTGCGTTCGATCCAGTTCATCATTGTCGCTATGAATTATATTTGTTCGAGCAATCTGTGATTAATACAACATGTGGAAAATACACAAAAAGCACTAAGGAAACAGACAAAGCAATATTGGCTAATTACATATATTAAAATGTGGCGTGCAAGTTAAGGCTGGCCTTCTTGGGAACATTTCGGTTTATAACCAATAAACACCATTAGAACAAATATATGCAGGGTGTTTTGTTGTAAGTTGATACCGCCTTTGATCATTTATTTCAAAAAAAAATGTGAATTTTTTAAGTCTGAATTTAAATCAAAAATATTAAACAAGGAAAGGTCTTTTTTTACTGGAACACCCTATGTATTTTTAGATAGATCGATCGGATTGTTTTCCATTATTTCAGAAATGCAAATATTGCCTAGATTTGCCGTTTTTTCTGTTTTTCTGTACTGTGTTTTAAAAATTTTAAATAGTAACGAATTAAAGTAGCCTGAAATGAAACAAAAAACTATAGAAAGAGAACATAACGGAATTTATTGTTTCTATGAATTTCAAAACAAATAAATATATAAAAACAAATTCATTAAACTCACGGATTTTGTATATAACGTCCGTTTAACGCTAGACGTGCTCAATAATCTACTTCAATTTTATCTATAACTTTTTCAATATATTGGTTATGATTAATATTAAAATCGTTAATTAATTATTAGCGATTATTAAATTATTAATCTTGTTAATTGCATCCACTATTTTAAGGCGTCTAACTAGAGTCTCATACACAATATTCTTTAAATAAGCCCAGAGAAAAGAATCAAGAGGCGTTAGGTCGGGGCCATTTGGACGCCATTGGATAGGACCCGCTCGTCCAATCCAGATATCAAAATTTTAATTTTAAAAAAGTGATACCGGGCGAACGTTATGGGGTGGAGCTCCATCTTGATGCCAGATGATCCCTTGACGCTGCAGTAATGGTAGGTCATCCACGTAGTCTTGAACACTGGTAGTTTAATAAATATTAAATTAAAGTACCTTCTTGACCTATTATCATAGGTTCGCATTAGAAAAATCGTCCTACGACTTTGTTCCCCAGTATACGGCACCAGACATGTAAAGAAGTTCTATCTTGATTTTTAATTTGTCTAATTGCTCTTGGATTTCCGTGGGACCAAAGTCTAGTATTTTTTCTGTTTCCTTTCTCTCTTTCCAAAAATTCCTGCAGTTCGAAAACTGCACTCATCGGACCATAATATTTTTTGACATCATTGTCTTGTTGGAATCGATCTAGCGTGGCGTGACAATAGACTCTTCTTGGAATTTTCGAAGCATCGGTTAGTTTTTGGACTGGTAAAATTTTGAATGGAAAATATTTATATTTTTTCGAGTCGAGTGGATTTTCTTGGTGAAACAATTTAGCTCTTGTTTTGCTCCAGGGGCGGATCCAGCTTTAAAGTCAGGGGGGGTTTTGTAGAAAAAATACAGTCTTCTGTTATCTATGAAATTAGAAAAATGATCATCGTTTTGTGCAAGGGTGGCGCAAGATTATTGCAAAATTTTATGTTTTCTGTCCCGTTTTGCATGTTTCTCGGAAGCAAAATGAGCAAGAACGCTCGTTTTTACATCATTCTAGACAGAAATAAATGGCTTTTTTAGAAAGTGAACCATGGATGGGGA